TGTTCAAAGGGCCTATAGGCTAGGACAAGAGCTAAACAAGGATTTGTCCCCCACAGGTAGAGCTGAGTGTACATGGAGTCACCCACCAGGAGTGTCAAGTGGCACTTAGAACCACTGGAGGAGATGTGGCTTCCGCTATCCGGAACCTCAAGGTAAAGCCAGCCCCTTCTCCAGGTTCCCTCTTCTCCTGCTCTGCCCCCTAGTGGTCAGCTGCCCTCCTTCCTGCTCCCACAGGTAGACCAGCTCTTTCACCTCAGTAACAGGTCCAGAGCAGACTGCCGTCGAATCCTGGAATATCACCAGTGGGACCTGTCAGCAGCCAGTCGCTACATCCTGGCCCGATCCTGAACTCTGCATCCTTGGGGATGGCTACCATCATGGAGGACCTGGCCCACTTAGGGCCTGACCTTATGGGACCAAACAGATCCATGAGGTCTTGACGGAGGCAGACTTTTACATCAAGGGCGCTCTTACCTGCTGTAAAGAGGTATAGGAAGTGTGCAGGGCACCAGGTCAAGCACTGGTGAGTGTTTCTTCCATGCCCTCCCTGTTCCTTGACCTCTGAGGGTTTAAGAAGCTTTAACTGGACCAAGAAGGATGTAGTCCACTCTGCTACCACATTCCCAATGGCATAGGACTCGACAGAGAAAAGCTGCAGAGGAAGCTGTCCTCACTATAGACAACGATCAAGTAGCTGTACTGGACCATGGAAGAACCATTAGAACCGTCATTAGCTACCTCACTAGACTCTAAGGGGCACCCATCTTGGATACTGACTTGGGGGCTGTGGCCCAAATGGCTTTGGTTTGGTCTAGAATCACCATGGGTGATTAAAAACTAAGCTTTTGGACTCAATGATTTTTTTTCTTTAATCCAAACAGTATCGATTATGAGATGGCCAACTCTAGCCCGGCTGTTGCCATTCCCTTTGTTTAATCCCACATCTGTTCTTTCTTCTTCCCTCTTTCATCACACACATCTTCCAATGTTTAAAAAGTTGCAAAGTTTATATGAGTACAACATACAAAGACACAGCCTCCTTCCTGGAGCAGGGAAAGGAAGGAGTTAATGGTTAAATAAGGCACAGAAAGCTGCAGAAAGCACCAGCAGGGCCCAGGGGGTTAGGAAGGAGGCAGGGACCCCTCACAGTGCCACTGTCTGAAGCTAAACTAATTGGCTAATATGACATGAGGGAAGAGTGGCGTGTCTGCATCTTTGGTACTGCTTGCTGTTTACCCATCAGCCCTGCTGTAAAACTTGAGTTCTGGATTCCAAAGGCCTCCTCCTGTTCAGAGAGGGGCCCTGGAAGAAGGTTGGGAGGAGTGGGTATGAAAGCTCAAACTCTAATATTGTGTGGGTAGGGGCTGCTGGGAGATGATAAAACACAGTGAGGAAGGGTTCTGGTACACAGGCCTCTGCAGGGCCACAGGTGAGGGAGGAGGAGAGGGAAGGGGTGGGACACAATGGCTCCCAACCACTCAGCCACCCATCTGTCCGCTGCAGTGTATACCAAGGAAGGGGTTGCCTCAGGAGGGAAAGGCCAGGGCAGGTGACCATCTCGAATTCTGGTTGAGGTGATGGTCTCCTCATGCTGAGGTGGCTTCTAACTGGTGATGGCCGAGGGCCCAGCGCCGCCTCGCTTCTCGAAGAACATATAATCCTAAGGGAAGGTCACTGTTAATGGGACATCTGGCTGGGTCAGTGTGGCCCAGATATTATAACTTAGCTTTAGACCTACAACCCACCATACATGTGCCTAGACTTCTAGTAAGGGCCCAGGAAGTGAACAAAGCTTCAGATAACAGGAGAGGAGAAGCAGGAAGGGAAGGGACAGCCAACTCACAATGAGGAACGTGGCTCCCAGCAACACAGCCTTCACTCTCACGTCTAGGTCTATTGGGAACTGTAGGCCAAAGTCGTCAGCATCTGTGAGGGCTTCTCGCAGCAACCCTCCCCACTGCTTGCTGATGCGGCCCACACTTCGAGATTCATCCTTAGTTTTCACCTGTTGGGAGGGAAGAAGGATCCAACTAGGGAAAATGCTACCCATTTCCCTTGCCAACAACACTCCACAGTTGCATGTATGAGACTGCATACTTGGGGAATCTTCCCAATAGTGTTGGGTTTCCATATGACAAGCAGGGGAAACTGAGATACCCTGCGTTCTGCATGAATACACGGTGAAGATCTGTTGCTTCCCAAAGGCTGTGTGTGACATAACTGTGTTCAGTGATAAATGACTAGTCGCTAGGATTGCTTTGGTTACCAGTATTCCTGACACCCCCGGTTAGTGCTGTATGCAAAGTATATGCCCTGTGCAAAGGAGCCTAGCTGAGGGAGCAAAAGGAGGAACCAAAGATCCTCCCCAAAGCGTGATTTCAGTCTTTCCAGAACTGAATGTGAACCTCATCTAGAGGCCAGCCAGTCCTAGCAGACAGTGATTCCCAATGGCCACTTTAAGTTCAGCAAGAACAAGCCATGTGGAAGTCAGTGGTGACTTAGTGACTTCCTGGTCCAGTGACCAGAACTGAAGCGATTTCCTTCTCCATCCTGTGCATCCTCCTCCCACCTTGTCCTGCAGCTGTGGGGAACTTCCTGCCACCGAGTTCCAGGCTCAGCAAGGTCTTCTGGTACCAACCCTGCATTTCTCAGAGTGCAGATCAAGTATGGACCATTCAAGACTGTGTTAAAGGGACACTGGCTCCCTGAGAACCCCACAACACACACATTCCCATCCAGGGATCACACAATTATCTCCTTTCCAACAAGTTCTCAGGATAGCAACTCCCTCTGACTAACAAGGTGACTGACTCACTTTCTACAGACAACCTTAGGTGAGGCATCTCTGCTGGATGAAACCTGTTGTTTCTCCTTTATCTGAATGGAGAATCATCCCTTAAAGAACCCAGAGTCTGTGCGGTGTCTCTGTCTTCTAAGAGCCAAAGAGTTTCCCAAGCCTCATTCTCAAATTCTCACCACTTGGGTTCTGGCTCTGGACTGGCGAGAGGAAGCCATAGTGAGAAGGACATCACCTGGACTTCAGGTTGGATGGATCATTTATACTTCTAGGTTTGCAGGACAAGCCAAGGGTGAAATTACTGCAGAGTCTATGCTTACAGATAGGTCCAGCAGCTATATGGGTCTGGCCCATGGCAAACTTAAGCACTGAAAGACTAAGATAACAGTCCCCCACCTTAGATCTAGACTAGCCTTATATTCTCCCCCAGGCCCTCCATGGGGCTGTAGGGAACACTCGGCCTTGGCCTGAAGATAAAATTCTTTTGTTTCAGACAGGTCTGTCTATCTAGTCCTGACTGACCTAGAACTCTGCCTCCTGAGTGCTAGGGTTAACGGTGTGCACCAACCATGGAATCTTTTTTTGCTGTGCTTTTACAGGCTTACAGGACCATCTCATTTCTGAATGGGAGAAAACTGAAAGTACAGTAGGGACAACAAAAAATTTGGAATTATCAGATTGAGGTTCTTGACCTTAAGCCATCTATTGGCATGGAAGCTACCATCTTGTTTTTCTAATTACTTTTTTTGATTAGTTGTGTGTGCTCCATGCCATGTGTGTGGAGAGCAGAAGATAAGTTTGTAGGAGTTGACTTTCTTCTTCTACCATGTGGAATTCAAGGCTATAACTCAGGTTGTCAAAATTGGTGGCAAATCCCTTGACCCTCTGAGCCATCTTATCAGCTCCCATCTTGGTTATGAAGAGCCTAGGAATCACTTCCTATTTATAATACCTCAAAGTTGGTATCTGTACCACAGCCACAGGTCCAGCAAGGCCCCACAACTCGAAGGACAGTCTGGCGATCAGCATCCTGGATGGAAAACTTAGGAAGGAAAGGATGCCAAGTCTGCAGCACATGGCCAATGGTGGTACCAGGTGGAGCCTGCACTTCCATCTGAAGAGGGAGGCAGACAGGGATACTGTCAAGCCAGGATACCTTGGTCAGAGCTCCTCATTGGTGCCAGCTGCCTTCTGATTGTTTAGACCCCCACAAAACCTCCCACTCCTATTAGAACCACAACCCTTTCTGGGTTGCTCTCTACACTGCCCACCAGCCACCTCAAAACCTGCTCTACCCACCTCCTGAAGGCCACAGGGACAGCAGCTGCAGCCACAGTGAAGTGGGCGGAGGAGGCGGAGCACCTCTCGGTCCCCAGGGTCCGCTAGGCGGACACGAAGTGGCCGGCGGGCACCACAGCACAGACGGGCACAACAGTTGCTCTCTTCAGCTGCCTGACCCAGTTGCTGTCCGGTCCCGGAACGAAGTTCATACCTATTACAGGTCTCCCAGCCTAGGAACGCTGTTAAGGGTAATATGCTGAGGCTCAGGGGCCTCATCTGCCCAGAAGCTCACCACTGCAGCAAAGATCATGAAGCCCAACTTGTTCCTCCTACTCACTTTCCACTCGTTCAGCCTTCTGATGAATCAAGATCTGATCAATCTGTTAAGAGTTAAGAACAGATCTTATCCATCAGCTCGAACATCGGCTCTCCTCCCAACCATCCTCCCTCCCACTCACCTGCACTAGGAACTCGAGGCCAGAAGGCACCCCTGGCAGTGGCAAGAACGGAGCAGGAGACCCTGGGGCCACGGGGCCTGGCGAGGGGAAGAGAGCGAAGCCGGGCGCCGGGGCTGGCACCTGAGCAGGCACTGGAGCCTGTCCCGGTCCAGGATGCAGCGCAGGCTCTGGATACCCAGCTGTCACGGGGTATGGAGGTGGGGGCGTAGGGGCATAGCCTTTGGAGGATAAGTAGCCTGTAGGTGAGCAGGGGTAGATTAGAAAGTTACCTGTGACCTCATCCTCTTCTTTTTCAGCCCAAAGGCTAGGAGTACCCGCGGGAAACATAAGAAGAGGCAGAGGATGATGGGGCGGGGAGGGGGGGCAGGGCGGTGGCTCCCCAGGAGAAAGGGAGGGCCCCAC